TACTCATCAAACTGCTAAATTACCTCTTTAAGTTCTATAAACAAGAATTTAGTAATTCCACAAATTGTAAATGCATGGTTTGGTTGTCAAAACATACAAGCCAGTAGGTTTCATGTGTATTTGTATAGGTAACACACACCAAAAAAACATACCTATATTGGTTTTCCACAAATCTGAATATAGAAGGCAACAGTAAACGAAGCTTCTTCCATTAAATCTTCTCTGTATGCTATTACAAAATATCTTCAAGGTCCAAGCCATGAAGTATCAAAAAGTATTTGAAAAATGAGTCGGGGGAACTGCTCCGTGAACATGCTTTGCCAGTGTTGTTCTCGAATCACAATTAATCGAATTTCTAATCGCGATTACAATTACGGATGCCACAATTACATAATCGTTCAAAGCAGCAGTTAATCGTTCAAAGTCCACGTATGTTATTCTGCACACTTAAGATTAGGGCTGTGCGATATTGAAGAAAAATGCGATATGCGATAACTCATTAAATAATGCGATATTCGATATGCAATACGATAATGCTTAAAGTGCCACATGCTCAGATGTAACCGTTTTACTCGGCTGTTGCTGAGTCAGTTCTGTGAACTTCTATAACTATCTTGTGTCATATATATATGGTTATTTGTATGCATGTATGTACGAAGAGTTCCTGTAAAACCACAACAAATTCCTTGTGTTTGCGCACACTTAAGTGGCGAATAAAGCTCATTCTGATTCTAATAAGAAAGCACCCCTACAACAACTTCTGAAAGTGAACGGTATGTGTTTTACTCGAGCATTACATAAAAATGTCAATTTAAGGTTAGTGTAATCATTTTAACATGAGTTTAGGAACTGAATAATAAAAAGGAAAAATAAAACACTGCTTAGTATTTACTCTTTGAATTCAATATGCACTGATTCTTATTTAAGCTACAAAAAGTTACTTCGGTAAGAGCAGTGAGTGATTTTCTCTGTCTTTTGTTCATGGCCCCAAATATTTGAGGCTTAAGCGATATGTATATTTGTGATATTTCGATAATTTCGATATATTGCACAGCCCTACTTAAGATGCTTTTTTCTTTCTACAAGTTATCTTAAGGGGTTTTCCATTGTTTTCGTTTTAGTTTTAGTATAACATTATAATACCATGCATAATTGTACCTTTTTATTTAAAGAAGAAACCAATCCAATGTATAGTTGACATTTGAGGCTTAATACCATGGAAAAGCAATAAAAGTTGTTCAGTTAGTGTTTTTGGCTTGTTTATTTTCATAAAAAAAATATGGCATGCAGTTGCTTCAAACAAAGGTGTAAACATCATTAATTTAATCGTAATTTATAATCGCAATTTCAAAGGAATAATCGACAATTATGATTTTTGTCATAATCGTGCAGCCCTAATCACAATGGTGCAATATAAAACTATTGATTTACAATTTTTGATTATAGGGTAAAAACAGTACTATATCAAGTGTATTACATCTCTTAAGGAATATCAGCTTAATTCCACTTCAGAATAATTAGAAATTACAGAAACATCTATCAATGCTTAAATCACAATCTGGATGTTAGGTCTTTGTTGAAAAGTTTATATATGTTATCATTAAAAAATTCATTTGAGGAAATAAATGGGATTTTTGTTTTTTGTTTTTACCCTATGGTTGTGTTGATGTTTGTGTTGGTTAGCTCCTTGTATACTATATAGTATATATAAAGTTGTTTTTTGTTTTTGTTTTTTTTGGTAGTGTAGAATTTGAAACGTACGGTTTCAAATATAAGGACTAGGTTCATATGAACTATTTATTGTACATGGCTAAAGTTTCTTCTCATTTGCAGGGGTTCGGAATGCCGCCGTGATTTGGAAATGTGTATCGTCTGCCATGCTGGACTTGCTGAAGACCCCATATTGTGTTTCTTTTGTAAATATGAGACCGTTGTTAAATACAGTGCATGCATGTCTAAGTCTGCTGCCACCCTGAAGCTCAAGATGGATCTCCTCATGACTGTTTTAAGCCTGAGGGTGTGACCCTTTGGATATTTGAGCAATATGGAAGAAGACATGGCTGTACAATGGGATACAGTGGAGCCGCCCATTGTTTCTCTGGCCAGTCCGTGTTATGGAAATGACAGCCATGTGTTATCGTCTCAAGCACCTGACTGTGAACATGAGGCGCTTGATGTGCTTGATTTTGATTGTGAATTCCCTGATGAAGACTTTGATTTGGAAGTAGACGAGAATGAGGAGCAAAATACCAAAACCGAAGATTTGAAGAATGATCAGGTGCAAGATGGGATTTCCGAGAAGGACAAGGAGAAATGTGAAGGAGGGGGAAAAATTGAATTGGAGAGTGAGTTTGGAGGCAATGGGGAGTCTAGATCCCGCAATGCTGGAATGGGTAGGAAAGGAAAGCCCAAAAAGAGTGGATCAGGGCAGGGGCCTTGCGATCAAACACCATTGTGGACATCTTCCATGTCTCATAAATCCTTCCTTGCATCATCTGGGCCCAGCAGACACAAGCAGCTGAAGCGATAATAATAATAATAATTCATTTAAATGTAGCCCTTACCCCGGAAACCCTGTAAACAAAGCAGCTGCACTACTTTCTGTTTCTGAATCGTGTTTAAATGATTTAAACAGCCATTCAGATTTCTGTATTTGCTATGATGTTCATCACAGCTCCAAATACTTATATATTTAGACTTAATAGGCTATTTATTTTCAAACATTTTTTACATTTTAATCGACTACAACATGCCCCTAGATATTGTTTGAAAGTGTTTAGATTTTTTATTGTTCGGTCACACTTTACATTAGGGCTTCATTAGTTAACATTTAGTTAATTTATTAGTTAACATAAACTGCCAATGAAAAATTCTTCTAAACATTCATTAATCTTGTTTTTTTTTTTTTTTACAAAGATTAATAACTTCTGTAGCAAATGTAGCTATTGCTCAAGATAATATTTAAACGAAGCATTTTGCTAAAAAATTTACAATCATGATTATTAATCTTAATCTTTTTCATTTGGGAAATTTCTTTTTACAGTTATTGTGCTTTCACATAAGCACAAATTAAGAAAATGTCAACTCGTACGTAGGGTTGGGTACCGAAATCCGGTACCAATATGGCACCGGTACCTATGTAACCGGTATGTACTAGAACCGAATCCGAACGCAGATTTTGGTGCCATGCCTGAGCGATCGATTGAAATATTTGTCTTCTGGTTCTCCGAAACAGACATAAGAAGAATCATAACAGGCACCGCACGTGAAAAATAATTTCCCGACTGAGAAAATGCACGTGAACTCAAGTCAGAAAGCTCTAATAATACAAATCCAACACGTCTTTGTAGTAACGAGAGTGTCCATGTTGTTTTCACATTCCGACTTAAAAGCACAACTCTTTTGTCCAACAAAAGAGAAAATTATAACCTTTTTACTCCACAACACCAGTCAAATGCTTCCTTTTGTGATGTCCGGGATTCGGCTGTTTTCTTAATCCCATTTCCGCTGAATCTCTGACCATTGCCGCCTGCTCCCGCAACATGTGTTTCGCTCCCGCGATTTTCGTTTCATTTGACCCTCTAACTCTAGCAATCTCTATTCTAATGCTTCTTCTAATTTTATCTGCTTGTTTTTTTTTTTTTTTAAAAAGATTAATAACTTCTGTAGCAAATGTAGCTATTGCTCATTGTGAATATTAATGCATTAACTAAGGTAAACTAATGAGATCTTATTGTAAAGGGATACCTATTGGTCTTTATAGTTCTTTTGCACTTTAATCTGTGTAAAACTTTTAACTTTATACATTTTTCTGTATTGCTTTATTGCATTTAAATGTTCAGTTATTTTTGTTATAAGAAAAAAGTTATTAAACCTGTTATACTGTATTATGACAGCACTAAATTTCAATATCGTGATAATACCGTATACCGTGATAAAAACATTAGCAATTAATCGCAACATGAAAATTTGATACCGGCATATCCCTAATATATATATATATATATATATATTAGGGCTGTCAGTCGATTAAAATTTTTTATATAATTAATTACATGATGTTTTGATTAATTAATCACGAAATAAAATTGGCTGAGAAAATACCCACAAAAGATTATTTAAAGCAAATTTCTGTGGTAAATGTGAAAGTATCAAGTAGACATTACAAATTGTAACTTTAGAAAGAAATATTTTATTTGATTCAACATAAAATTTATTACACAAACATTTAGGCTACAACGGCCTAACATAAACTATGGCACACAAAAGAAGATAATTTGAGAAACATCTCAGTATTTTTTTGTTCATACAATGAAAGTCATTAACCAAAACAGCTCTGTATCAACTGTCTTCAAAATAGCTTCTTCTATGTTCCACAAAAGAAAGGTTTGAAACGACATGAGGGTGAGTAAATGATGACAGAATTAAAAAAACATTTTTGGGTGAACTATCCCTTTAATATTTTTATTTTTATTATTACTATTATTATAATTTTAATGAAATTATATTCGAAATAAGAAACTAAATCTGCCAGCAGGTGGCGGTAAATGCGTGTCATTCATTCAACGGCTGATTCATTCAGGAATGAAGTAAATGGCTCTCTCTATGACTGAATCTTTGAAACATTGGTTCATACGATTCGTTCAAAACGCGGATTCATTCAGAAATTAAACACTGCTGTGCTGCTCAATGACGCACAACATTTCTGCTATGGCTTTAAAGGTAATAAATACTTTGCAAAATTGAGCAAAACGCATATTGTTTAAAATATAAAAAAATTTAATAACTAATTAAGTTAAAGCGTTAAACTGACAGCCCTAACATATACATACAGTGGTGTGAAAAGGTTTTTGCCCCCTTCCCGGTTTTTTATTTTTTTGCATATTTGTCACACTTAAAAGATTCAGATCATCAAACAAATTTTAATATTACACAAAGATAATGCAAGTAAATACAAAATGCAGTTTTTAAATTATTAGAAACTAAGGTGCGCCTTAACTATGTTATCAACTCTTGCTCTGGTACAGATCCCTGAAGAGGAGTTGGACCCATTTAATGTTCTTGGAGTGGATATTCATGCCACTGAATCAGAACTCAAGAGAGCTTATAGACAGCTGGCAGTACAGGTGAGATGACAGAATATCATTGCCCTGAAACATGGGATGAGTTACGGATTGTATTGATTTGTCCAGATTTAATGTATTGTTTGTGTACAGGTTCATCCAGACAAAAACAAGCACCCAGGTGCTGGCGAGGCCTTCAAGGTGTTAAGAGCAGCATGGGACATCGTCAGTAACCCAGAGACTCGGCGAGAGTATGAATTGTGAGTGCTGTTAGATAAGAACAAGTACATTGATCGTCATCCTAAATGAAATGTTTTTTATGAAGAAAATGGCTTCTGTTATTTTGCATTGTGACAATATTTTCATTTTGACAAACACTTTTACCTACACATTCTTATCCTAATGAAAAACAATTTTGTTCTCTTAAAGCCTTGTGCTGTGCTAAAAATCCTTTACCTAATTTGGTGTTCCCTGTCAAAAATGACCAGCCTTTTTATAAATAGCTTGAAAATCTCTCATTAATGCTATATTATCATTTAATCTTTAAAAAAGCCTTTGCTGGTCAAAATGACCGTAACACAACTTGAAAAGTTGATGTAATGTGGAAAACGTGGAATAGTTGTATCTAATAGTTGTGTATCTGTTGTATTGCATTTCATGCTGAACTTAATATTACTCAATATTACAAGAATTTTTAGAAAGATGACCTGTACACGTTTCATATAACTATGAAAGTTGATTATATATTTGGGTTCTGTCTGCAGGAAGCGTATGGCAGCTACGGAGCTTTCAAAGTCCATGAATGAGTTTCTGACCAAACTGCAGGATGACCTGAAAGAAGCCATAAACACAATGATGTGCACTAAATGTGAGGGCAAGCACAAGTGCGTATTACTGATCATCGTTTCAGTCTTGTCATTTCATACAGATCTTGTCTTGTGTTATATGCTGCGTTTCTACATTCATCTGAGCTTGGTCTCTTCCACAGGCGCTTCGAGATGGAGCGCGAGCCTGGTGAGGCCCGATTCTGTGCTGAATGTAGTAAATGGCACAGCGCCGAGGAGGGAGACCTGTGGGCTGAATCCAGTATGCTGGGACTGCGCATCACATACTTCGCCTTCATGGATGGCAAAGTCTTTGACATCACTGGTAGTTCATTTGCATTCCCGCTCTCGGATCGTTGCTGTGTTCATATGTTGTATGCATATGTTCAGATCCTTGAGACACATCTCTATGTTCACACAGAGTGGGCAGGCTGTCAGCATATAAGCATTTCTCCAGACACACATCGCGTGCCATATCACATCTCTTTTGGCTCTAAAGGTAGCAGCGGAACCAGTGGAACCAGCCGCCACAGGTAACCGCTTTTTCCCAAGGCTGATGATACACAAGGCAACTTTTTGAGCAATGTTGCCGTCAACGGGCAAACAGGTTAGACACGGGGCCCAAAACCGATCTAGAGTATCCAGATAGAAATTTGTTTCCCGTTCACAGTGAGAAAGTGCCCAAACAACATTGCTCAAAAAAAGTTGCCCCGTGTATCATCAGCCTAAGGCCCTGTTTACACTAGTGCGTTTTCGTTTTAAAATGAAAACGATCCTCGTCTACACTGGCGTTTTCACTGCGTTTCAGAAACTATCTGAGTCTGAACTTTTATCAAATCCATTTTACAACTTTAATGGTATGTGTTTGAAAGAGATTATTTTGTGGGGACAGAGTCTGTGCAAGCCTGTAATCATTCAGTAAGAAATATTAATGTGTTGCTTAGTGATTTTGGATACTGTATAAAGACAGGTAACGCATCTTTGAAACTAAGGTGCGCCTTAACTATGTTATCAACTCTTGCTCTGGTACAGATCCCTGAAGAGGAGTTGGACCCATTTAATGTTCTTGGAGTGGATATTCATGCCACTGAATCAGAACTCAAGAGAGCTTATAGACAGCTGGCAGTACAGGTGAGATGACAGAATATCATTGCCCTGAAACATGGGATGAGTTACGGATTGTATTGATTTGTCCAGATTTAATGTATTGTTTGTGTACAGGTTCATCCAGACAAAAACAAGCACCCAGATCTCTATGTTCACACAGAGTGGGCAGGCTGTCAGCGTATAAGCATTTCTCCAGACACACATCGCGTGCCATATCACATCTCTTTTGGCTCTAAAGGTAGCAGCGGAACCAGTGGAACCAGCCGCCACAGGTAACCGCTCTTTCCCAAGGCTGATGATACACAAGGCAACTTTTTGAGCAATGTTGCCGTCAACGGGCAAACAGGTTAGACACGGGGCCCAAAACCGATCTAGAGTATCCAGATAGAAATTTGTTTCCCGTTCACAGTGAGAAAGTGCCCAAACAACATTGCTCAAAAAAAGTTGCCCCGTGTATCATCAGCCTAAGGCCCTGTTTACACTAGTGCGTTTTCGTTTTAAAATGAAAACGATCCTCGTCTACACTGGCGTTTTCACTGCGTTTCAGAAACTATCTCCGTTTACACTACATGACCGAAAACGCATGTCACATGACCAGTAATGCATGTACAACCATAGATATGTATAGGTAGATTCCCTATTGTTTAGATGGCGTGCTTGGAGCGGTCGAATGAGGCTTCTACCTATACATATCTATGGGTACAACTATGAGCATGATGTTATGGTTTACACGGTCGTCAAGGACACGCAGAGTGAATGTGGGCAGCCATGCCATCATTTTCAAAAGTCTCCGTTTTGCTCCGTTTACACTGAAATGCAACCGCGGAGTTTTCAAACTAAAACGGGGTCTGCAGCGTTTTCGATAGTCTCTATTTTTGAGGGTCGAAAACACCGGAGTAGTGTAAAAAATAGGCGTAACCGTAGCAAAAGTTAAAACGAAAACGCACTAGTGTAAACGTAGCCTACTAAGAAGTGTTCTGACCTCAGACCATTATGACGTCATCAGCTGTCTAAAGACTATTATGACAACATCAGTTATTCAGAGGCCATAATTCTATAATAATATCTCGTTCCAAATCTATCTGACAGTGATGATATCATAATATAATGGAATGCTGATTATTCTATCAGTGCAAGCCACTGGGAAATTTGCCCACTTCTGTCTTTAATTTCTTGAAAATCTAAAAAGGTAACACTTTACAATAAGGTTCCATTTGTGAACATTAGTTAACGACTTGGGCTGTGTGGTAATGGTTAAACAATTGAGTGATTATTTTGTTCAAAAATATAATAATGGTTAGTAATCATGTTTGTCATTTTTAAGCTTTTTTTTATACGTTTGATTAGAATTGTTGCACTTTAAACTCACATGGTTTGCTTGCAGATTTAGTTGCAGCAAACAGCAAAAATAAGCATGTCAAAGAAAACAGACTGGCTGTATTACACTTTTATTTGAGCAATGTAGAGAGAGTGAGAGAGCGCATGCACACGGTTGCCAGGTTTGGAAGATTAAGTAAACCACTGGGCAGAATATGTTTTGATTCATAAATAAATGTATTTATTTATGTCTTCTTTTTTTTTTTAGTTTCTACCAATGCAAAAACACAAATTCCAAATTAAAATGCAACATTTTCAGGATAAATAACCAGCAGGCAAATGTCATATGATTATGCTTAAAGCATTAGTTCACTCCAGAATGAACATTTCCTGATAATTTACTCACCCCATGTCATCCAAGATATTCATGTCTGTCTTTCTTCAGTCGATAAGAAATTAAGGTTTTTGAGGAAAACATTTCAGGATTTTTCTCCATATAGTGGACTTGAACAGGGACCAGCAGGTTTTTCCAAATTGCAGTTTCAGTGTAGCTTCAAACGATCCCAGCCGAGGAATAAGGGTCTTATCTAGTGAAACAATCAGTAATTTTCTAAAGAAAAAATGTCCGGTAGGTACCGACCCTTATTCCTCAGCTGGGATCATGTAGAGCCATTTGAAGCTGCATTTAAACTGCAATTTGGACCTTTAACTCGTTGGTCCCTGTTGAAGTCCACTATATGGAGAAAAAACTTAACAATGAAATTAAAATATTTATTCATCTCAATGTTAATTTTTACCATTTTCTAATACAATAATAAACTAAAATTGTATGTGTTCATATTATTTAATATCTGATCTAACATGAACTAACAAAGAACAGTTGTATTTTTATCAGCAAACGGCTACAAGTAGTCATGACAAAAACATTTTTTTGTTAATTTTGAACAAAAATATGTGGGTTGAAATTACCCCTTACACAATAGACACAAAAGTCTTTAAGATCATGAGAAACCCATTCAGTCAGATGTACCCAGACTGGAAATATTTTTAATATGCAAATGTTTTTATAATATATCTCATAATGTAAGTGGTATATGTTGCCTATATTTGTAGCATTTACTTGCAAGAACTTGCACATGCTTCTTTTTTTTTTTTTTTAAACTAGACTTGTGCAATTTTTTTTTATTTGTCATTGATCAATGTACAAAATGGGGTCTGTATTTCGGCTGAAAATATAGAAGATGTAGAGTTCACGTCAACACTTCAGTTTGGTGTCAGTACACCAAAGCATTGCAGAAATACAGCCTCAGATCAGGATTGGCATCAACTTTGATGACGAGTTGTACAAAAACAGCATGAGATATGAAAAAGCTCTTAATAATAGAGGTAGAGACCCAAATTTGCTGTGGTTAATGTTCAGGCTGTCTTCTATCTGTGTGCCATATTTCATAACTTTCCCACATGAAGTTCTGTGGGCTGCCATAGACTCAAGAGCAGATGACGACGACTAGCAAAAACACAAGGTGCCTGCTCACTTTTGGCGCTTGGCTCCTAATTACTGGCCTGTGTGCTACTGTAATGACAGTCTTCATGTTAAACTGTGTCCTCCAGATCCGCCCCAGATCACGCAGCAGGTGGAGGCTCACCTGCAGACCTGCAGGACTTCTTCAACCGCTTCTTCCAGGGTGGAGCTCCCAGTGACATGTCTGCTAATGGAGGCATCTTCCCAACAGGAAACCCGCCGCCTCATTCCTCCGGAGCAGCTGCAGGGACTTCAACAACGTTTTCAGGATCTTCTCCACAAACGGGGTTCTTTAGCCCAGGGGCCCAACGGGGCGACCCCAGCGAACACTGGACTGACGGAGGAAAGCCCCCACGCCGACGCAAGAAAGTTCGCAAGCCATTCCAGTGCTGAGGAATGCAATGTTTTGCAGAGAAGTAGCGCCGTCTGTTGCCATGTTTTGACATGATATTGGCCAGCTAGTGCAACAAAACGAGGACACAATCTTTTGACCTCTGTTGAGCATTTCAGTGTTGGCGCTTTGAAGCTTCCTGATACAGAATGAAATGGCAACATCAAATTTCGTAGAGGGGCAAGCAAAGATGGATGCAAGAAGAAGATCTTTGCTGTTTCATGTTTGAAGTCCTTTGTTTTTATCTCTCTTTTTTTTTTACACAAATTAACCTACATTCAAGCATTTGAAATAACGTTCTTTCAAGAAACAGAAGGACTCACAGAAGGACTCATGAGTCATGAGTAGATTTTCTGGTGTATCTGAAAAATAGTTGACCCAACTTTAAAAATTGTTACTATTTACCCACCTGCATGTTGTTCCAAACATTTATGCCTTTTATTTTTGCTTATCACAGCTTTTTTTCATTACAAAGGAAGTATAGAAATTTCCCAACATCATAAAAGTAGACCATGTGACTTGTAGTTTTCAAGTCTTTTGAAGACCTCAGATAGCTTTGTGCGACAACCAAAGACCCAAATTTAGCAATTCACTCATTATGTTTTTAGCTATTAAATTTGGCCGAGGTTTGATGTGATGGATACATGATATGCGATGGTGTTCAGTATCCTGAGCTTCAGTGGAGGGCAGCATTAGCAGTGGATAAAAAGTTTTTTTTTTTTTAGATTGACAGATGTGGTTATTATGAACCGCATGAGATTCTTAAATTTTACCAGAAGAAAAAACAGCAGAGTTTGAAACGACATGAGGGTAATAATGGCATTTTTATTTTTGGGTGAAGTTTAAAAATGTTTCTGGTTTTGTCAGGCTTGAAATGGTGAATCTGATGGAAAATCTTCATGATGTGGCTGAATGTTTTGTACCACGTAAGGATTAATGTAGAAGTCACACGCAGACCTCAGGGATGACTCTTTCTTCATCTGCTACTAGTGAGAGAACGGGAAAAGGACGTATGTTCCTGGGATTATCGTATAGAGCTCATGCAATCCAGAGCAAGCATTTTACCAGTTACTCAAGCAGTTCATAATAAAACCAGATTTTTTTCTTCTTCTGTTGTTTAAATCACTTGTTTAGGAGAGAATTACTTCAAATATGTACAAACATTTTATTGTACAAAAAAAATACACAATATGGCTTAATATTCCACAAATTGATCAACTGTTCATGTGATCTGAATGGAGCTTCAGAAAATGAAATAATCTAGAGGGATTTTCACATCAAATGCTCTTGATTGATTTGGCTTATGTCTTTGGCTCTTCCAGCTCTAGAGATGCACTACATGAACAATGTGCATTGTATTTTAGAGAGGGGGAAAGAAATTATTGAAAATTTGAGTTAAAGCACAAATGTAATCGTGTGTAAATCTTATGTCTAGATGCATTGAAGTCTAAAAATGGGTTTTGATGTGAAAATCCCAGAGCCTGCCTTTAAGAGGAAGTCTTCTTTTCACTTCTGACCACTTTTTTAACACTCAGGAATCATTTTAAAAGCAAGTTGCTTCATTCATGGAGCCATCATTCCAGGCCAACAGATTCATTAGTGTTCGAACCTGACGTAGTTATTTTTTTTTCTTTATTTTACAGTAGACACAGTATAATTTGACACAAGACCGTTTTCCCTCTGTACAGCCGGACATCATAAAACCGTACTAATACATGCGTGTTCAGTTTCATGTGTTCTCAAGTTCTCGGAGATGTTTCCGGAACTTCCTGTTCAGTTTGACTTATTACTTGTTGGTTCAGACTACACGATATTTTTGTCGGTCACGATAGTCACTGTGTCAGAGCACACGATTTTGACTCCTAAAATCTTGTGTCGTGTCGTGGACAAGAAACATGTCAGACTACACGTTGCTTCCCGACCATTCATCGTGTGTCGTCTTTAACGTCTCGCGTGATGTCATCGAGAAGGCGGAACTAGAGACTGATTTCCGAAAACAAGAGTGTAAACATTGCTGAAGCGCTTCCGCTATAGTTCGCCAGAATTTTTCTTTCTTTGTTCTGTCGTGGTAGTCCCTCAATGACACATCATACAGGCAGGAGTACTGTGTCCACAGCTCCACAAACTTTTCCTCCATCTCATAATTCCACCTAGCAGCACCATCATCTCTATTTCGTTTCGCATGTTTGAAACCTGTGTATGAAAGAGCTTCTGTGCTGCTATTGGTCAACGTCACCAATGTGACAGCACTCATCATGGACGACGGAAAAAACAATAAACATGCTAGTTCTTTCTGTCGTGAAGCATCGCAGACGCGGAATCGGTTGTCGTCCACTATGACACACTACACGAGCTGAAACTATGTAATCTTGCGTCCCGACGCCCATTGTCGTTTACGAATCCCCACGACACCCTACGTCAAGCAAATCGTGGCAAAATCGGGCTAAAATCATGTAGTCTGAACCGGGCATTAAATCTCCTGATAAAAGCGCTTGTTTAACAACAGAAATTCCAATGAAAACATTTAAAGAGACTCCAGAAATAAAATCGAATTGTTGTTTTGCTGTTTGTCAGTGATTTTTCAGCCTGTGACTCTAATTGAACTGGTTTCAGATGGAAGAAGCATAAATATAAAGGGTATAATGGTTTAACATGGTTACTCAATAATTGAAAAACTGCGCATGATAAAATAGCAGCACGTTACCTCTGAAATGTTCTCAAAAGCTAAAAATGACTGGCCACGCTGTATCTATAGTTGACCCAAACTCAGTGGTTCTTTCGATTACGTCATTGTTTCTGAATCTTTAGGATAAATTTGTAAATGTTTACCTTCAGTCCGATTTTCAGACTATTCTAATGTTGTTGTTTTTTCTTTACAGCAGAAGCCTTCTGTTGACAATGGCAAGTGTTATTTAATTCCTGTTGATAATTGAAGTGGTATAATAGAAATAAAACAGAGTTTATTATTGCACTAAATGTCCTCCGGATGTTAAGGTGTTACTGATCTTTTGAACAAAATAATGGCTCGCTTTAAATTGACTGGTGTCTAAACATCAACAAAAATGAGTAGCTCATATGTTGCTTTTATTGTTTGTATATTTCATTATTTATGTGACAATATTCCACTCGCTATTTCAAGAAAATGTGATGGGTATTGTATTCATTACGTTCACTGTACTTGAGAGTTTTAACAGTGGTCGAGGTGCTGCATCGACACAAATGTATTTAGGGATTACATGAAGGTTTATTCCAGACAGATGTGTCGTAGAGAGTGATCTAGATCAGTGAATCTCAACCTTTTGGTGTACCGGACCCCAGTCCAATTCAGAACCATCCTCAAGGACCCCCAGAACAAAACTCATCTATGTATCATTTGTGTTTTTGTGAGGACCAAATGCAGTCAAGTATTATTCAAGTTAGTTGACTTAACTGTCCAGTATTTGGCCATATCATCAGCTATATTGGATTTTTCTTTCATGGGAACATGTCATGTCAAAATATACAAAAAATCATACTTTATACGGACCCCCTGGCCTTACGTCAAGGACCACTAGGGGTCCACGGACACCTGGTTGAGAAACACTGATCCAGATCACTCTAGATTCAGACAATCATTATAATGGTGATAATGCGCCGGACACTTTTTCCATGATTTGGTATGTTGTTGCCTCTCTCCAACACTCCTATAATAAAGCTGATTTCCTCAAATGCTGTGCTCTTCAACATGTACAAGTGTAACATCTGTGCATTTAACTCCAGTAGAACGTAAATGTTCACCACAGCAGCTGCTCTAGAAATAATGTTTCCACTTCTATCATGGAATGTGTTCAGTTATAAGTTGACAGAAATGTGTAGGACAGTGCAAAGGTCGTTAAAGGTCATATGCAGCTCAAATTTTGGATTCTGCTCAAGATGTCAAAATATACTTTCTTAAGGGTAATATTTGTTTTGCCAAAATTAGCTTATCATTGATTGAAGTCGTATGATTTGTGCTACCATTATGCAACACTTTAGTGACTAACAAGAAAAGAGTAAGATAAAATTTACTTCTTTTTGTTTTTCAGCGCTGTGTGTGTGTGTATATATATATATATATATATGTGTGTGTGTGTAAGACCGTTTTCCCTCTGTACAGCCGGACATCATAAAACCGTACTAATACATGCGTGTTCAGTTTCATGTGTTCTCAAGTTCTCGGAGATGTTTCCGGAACTTCCTGTTCAGTTTGACTTATTACTTGTTGGTTCAGACTACACGATATTTTTGTCGGTCACGATAGTCACTGTGTCAGAGCACACGATTTTGACTCCTAAAATCTTGTGTCGTGTCGTGGACAAGAAACATGTCAGACTACACGTTGCTTCCCGACCATTCATCGTGTGTCGTCTTTAACGTCTCGCGTGATGTCATCGAGAAGGCGGAACTAGAGACTGATTTCCGAAAACAAGAGTGTAAACATTGCTGAAGCGCTTCCGCTATAGTTCGCCAGAATTTTTCTTTCTTTGTTCTGTCGTGGTAGTCCCTCAATGACACATCATACAGGCAGGAGTACTGTGTCCACAGCTCCACAAACTTTTCCTCCATCTCATAATTCCACCTAGCAGCACCATCATCTCTATTTCGTTTCGCATGTTTGAAACCTGTGTATGAAAGAGCTTCTGTGCTGCTATTGGTCAACGTCACCAATGTGACAGCACTCATCATGGACGACGGAAAAAACATTAAACATGCTAGTTCTTTCTGTCGTGAAGCATCGCAGACGCGGAATCGGTTGTCGTCCACTATGACACACTACACGAGCTGAAACTATGTAATCTTGCGTCCCGACGCCCATTGTCGTTTACGAATCCCCACGACACCCTACGTCAAGCAAATCGTGGCAAAATCGGGCTAAAATCATGTAGTCTGAACCGGGCATTAAATCTCCTGATAAAAGCGCTTGTTTAACAACAGAAATTCCAATGAAAACATTTAAAGAGACTCCAGAAATAAAATCGAATTGTTGTTTTGCTGTTTGTCAGTGATTTTTCAGCCTGTGACTCTAATTGAACTGGTTTCAGATGGAAGAAGCATAAATATAAAGGGTATAATGGTTTAACATGGTTACTCAATAATTGAAAAACTGCGCATGATAAAATAGCAGCACGTTACCTCTGAAATGTTCTCAAAAGCTAAAAATGACTGGCCACGCTGTATCTATAGTTGACCCAAACTCAGTGGTTCTTTCGATTACGTCATTGTTTCTGAATCTTTAGGATAAATTTGTAAATGTTTACCTTCAGTCCGATTTTCAGACTATTCTAATGTTTTTTTTTTTTCTTTACAGCAGAAGCCTTCTGTTGACAATGGCAAGTGTTATTTAATTCCTGTTGATAATTGAAGTGGTATAATAGAAATAAAACAGAGTTTATTATTGCACTAAATGTCCTCCGGATGTTAAGGTGTTACTGATCTTTTGAACAAAATAATGGCTCGCTTTAAATTGACTGGTGTCTAAACATCAACAAAAATGAGTAGCTCATATGTTGCTTTTATTGTTTGTATATTTCATTATTTATGTGACAATATTCCACTCGCTATTTCAAGAAAATGTGATGGGTATTGTATTCATTACGTTCACTGTACTTGAGAGTTTTAACAGTGGTCGAGGTGCTGCATCGACACAAATGTATTTAGGGATTACATGAAGGTTTATTCCAGACAGATGTGTCGTAGAGAGTGATCTAGATCAGTGAATCTCAACCTTTTGGTGTACCGGACCCCAGTCCAATTCAGAACCATCCTCAAGGACCCCCAGAACAAAACTCATCTATGTATCATTTGTGTTTTTGTGAGGACCAAATGCAGTCAAGTATTATTCAAGTTAGTTGACTTAACTGTCCAGTATTTGGCCATATCATCAGCTATATTGGATTTTTCTTTCATGGGAACATGTCATGTCAAAATATACAAAAAATCATACTTTATACAGACCCCCTGGCCTTACGTCAAGGACCACTAGGGGTCCACGGACACCTGGTTGAGAAACACTGATCCAGATCACTCTAGATTCAGACAATCATTATAATGGTGATAATGCGCCGGACACTTTTTCCATGATTTGGTAT